AGTACTCCTTTTGAGTCATCTATACTGCAGGATCTTCCTAGATTACTTCAGCTACATCATTATCTGAATATAATTATGGAATTTGTCTGGCCAGTTCATCAACATGGTGTAGTGAACAGCAAGCTATTCTTGTTGCATGTTGAAACCAGCCAAAATTTAAGCAACCTTCCAATTGAGAGCTGTAATGAATACCAGACATTCGTGACACTTATAAAATAAATTTGGAATGTTACACAGAGAGAAGTTTCTAAAGCAAAGTTCAAGGCATAAAGACTAGATCTTAGCTGAACTTGCAGAGAATATGGAAAGACTTATCCAGTTATCTTATCCAGATGTTCCACATGAAATAGTGGATTCGTTTTCACCTAACAAAGTCATGTATGACATAGTGAGTGAAGATATGCGAACCAGACTAAAGCAAAGTAAGCTTACATCTTTAAAGGAAATTGTTCAGTTTACAATGAAGTTAAATCAGTTAAATTCACTGATAGAGAAAGGCACCATCAAGGAATTATGAGGTTACAAGATCAAGTAGTATAGAATTTTCAACTCTTTCTGATGAAGGTGAAAAACCCAAAGGTTAACTATACAATATTTGAAAAGGTTAATTGTACAATATTTATTTAAGGTGGAAAATTTAATTCATAGGACAGAAAATGTTTCAATTGCAGCTTAAAATAAAATATTGCCAGGAGCTGCAGACAAAAGTCTTTAGGAAACAGAAACTGTTCTCAAAAAATTACATGAAAATGAAAATTTTGTGACTGTGGAAAATATGGACATTCCAGCTGAGACTGTGATGAATAATCTGTTGATAATGAATCAGTGATACAGTATCCTGAGACTGAGAATACTCCAACTGATCCAATTGAGATAAGTAAGGCATTATTTTAAAAAATCAGCTTTTAAGTCAGTGGATTCAACGATGGTAAATCTTGCACTATATTGATTAACACTCCTATAGCTGCCATTGTTTGACAGGATTTGGTAATGAAAGGCGAGAACTTGCCTCCAGGAATAGGGGAAGAATGCATACTGAAAACAGACTTAGTTTGGAAACACAGATGGGACTTAAGACTAACTTTGAACAGTTTCACAGTCTATGACCAGGAACTCCCTGTGACTAAACGTCAGCTCACCACCAGAGGTAGAACTTCCAATGACAACAAAAATGTAAGCACAATAAAATGAAAACTTCCAACCAAGTGCAACAGCAAAATACAAAGACACCAGCTCCAAACTAAAAGTCATTCACAATGAATAACTTCGGAAGTATGTTGGTGAGAGAATGGCCAGATGGTTAGCTTCAAAAAATACTTCACTAGTGGTAAGTCAGCCTATTGGAGAGCAGAAGGTTCTTATCCAGAACATTTGCAGAGTTTTACTTGGATTGAATTGCCAGTTATTTCTTCAACCATCTACCTAAAGAAACAAAATGGAAAGTAATGATAAAGGACAAGAGATCATCCATCTTCATACTGTAAGTCATGGAAAAGAAACCCTTAAAAATTTGGTGACTGGACAATTTAGAAACATGAAATTAGTAAAAGAAAAAATTGTTGTTAATCAAAATTTTGAACGTACTTTGTTTTTCACACATTTAATAAAAGATTGTAATGTCTAAATTTATAAATATTGATGTTATTAATTGTTAATAGTTACTTTACTCTTAATTATAGAAGCTTATGTTGAATGTACAATTTGTTTAATGGACTTCACAATCCAAAAAAGGGGGCAGTATCGTAGGCTAAATTTTTTCATTTAGTGGTGTGTATTATTGTTTCGCCAGAGTGAAGTTTGATGTCACGTAATGAGCACATACCTTAATATCTGGAATTTTGTCTTACGTTTTTGTACCAGTTGACCAGAATATAAAGAGTGAGTTAGGCTAGAGTTAGTGAGTTACTCTATTTGTCAGTTAATGAAAAACCAATGCATTATTTAGTCAGTTTGCTTGTTGCTGTCAGTCAGATATTTAGTACAGTACTGCGTATTTTGAGTTTGTGTATCCAATGAAGAAATAAAATCGTTTTGATATTATTAAATGGTCTGTAAACTATTTCCACAATAGCGATAACTATTGCTCTTCAACTCTAAGCTATATTTCAGAGTAAAACTTATTATAAATAGCTAAACTCAGCCTCGTAAATTTCGAATACTGAATGTCCCCCCTTTTACTGGAGTCATTCTTGGTTATACAAAATTCAAATGCTAGCATCTTGCTACGATCTTTCCTGCCACATAATATTGAAATGCTATCACCTCACTGGATTACTCTGTGCCACATGGGCCTTAAACGTCAATATATTTCGTATGTAAACAGTTTATTAGAAACATCTTTTCTACACAT